GTGGGGGGGGGGGGCTAGATATAGGGGGTTGGTGATTTTTGGCGCCCCCTTGAAGTGACACCGGAAGGGGGGCGGCTGCTGCTCCCCCCCCCCCCATCTTTCACTATCCATCTTCACCACGAGCTTGCGAAATATATCCTTCTTTTGGAAATTTCCAACTTAATTTTTTTTTGTTTCCCGGTACCGGATCTTAAACATTTCGGTGAACGCTCAAAGCAGACGACTGCCGGCACGCACGGCACAGAAAGTAGACAAAAGTACTCCCATATCCGTGTCGTACACTTTAGCCTCGCTAACCGTTGTTGTTGTGTTGTCTTCTCTTTTCTCAAGTGTTTGCCCGCTATATAAAGGAGCCCCCGCTAGGATTTTTACCGTATCCTTGTCTTGGCCTACTAGAAACTTCAAATTATAAATTCTGACAGTGTGGGTATTTCAAGTTGAGCTGAAAGAAAGCGACGTCTGACTGCCCCCCCAACACGATGGCCACACAACTGCAGTTTGTGTTTGTCTGTCTTTTTGTCTGTTTCACCTGTCTTATCAACGCCAGGTCGATTAAAAGTGAACTGGAAGGTAAGTTAGCATTAGTTGTTTCGTGATGTTAAACTTCAGAGCGCTCATTGCATTTTTTTTTAAAGTTAAAAAAAAAACAACAAAAAAAAGAACCAGATGGTGGATTCCAAATCGGAGTTCGGTCCCTTTGGTTGGGGTCAAGTCATAAAAATTTGCCCCGACCAAAGAAAGGGAAATAATGATATACTGCTGTGATTTTTTTCCTGAATGAACACGCCAAACGGTTATAAATAGTAACACGAATATAAGTGAAACGCGCAAAAAAGAAATGTTGCGCATAAACAATTAAATCAATCGTCTAAGAACGACACCCATGTAAAATATACAAGGAACGCACTTACAGGTGCTGTTAGACGTTGTTTCATAATTTAACTGTTATTTTTTTTAACTCACGTCTCACCTGAGCACTTAAAAATGTATCCAGGGGCGTCATTTCAAGTTTTTTTTTCAAAGTGGGGGGAGGGTCAAAATCAAAACTTGGTCGGCTTGTTAAGTTGTATATTACTGGAGGCGCCACAGTACATAACAATTTAAATAAAACTTGCAAATTCGGGGGGGGGGGGGGGCAAATTGCCAAATGACGTCCTTGGCCGAATGCCCCCACGCACTTTAAATAAATTCAACTACAATTAATATATATTTATATTAACGTACACACCTTTTAACTTTTACTAGGGGGTGGGGGTGGATTATTGAGACTAATTAATGAATTAGTATGCAATAATATATTAATGAAAGCTGAAGTAAACCGTTTTAGGTGCACCGATTGTTTGTATTCTTTTAGGCTAGTCTCCTTTCTTTAAAAAAAAAAAATGTTTGATCGCAGTCCAACCCACTTATAATGACTAAGAGGGGAAGTTGTGGTCGTAGACTCCGGGGTAGTTAACCAGATACGGGTCACTAATGGGGGTGGGGGTGGGGTGGGGGGGTGCTGACATGTAATGACATCATAATTTACAGGAAGAGCCCCTTTAATATTTGGTAGATCGATTCGGAGGGCGGAGCTACATACACAAAAAATGAAAGATAGTGAAGCAAATATTAAAAATGAAGGCCAATTCTCAGGAGATTTCATGACATCGTGTTTCAAATGTTGGACACATTTGATGGGAAAACTCTATTTATATTGCTTTTTTTTTTTTTTTTCATTTTCAAATAAGTAATGGAAAATTGGAATATAGGGCGCGTAGATATCTGCAACAGTTGAAGAGGGTCCCGACAATGGAATAGAGTGTGTAGATATCTGCAATAGTTGAAAGGGTCCTAACAACAGCACACTCGCCTAGATTCATGCCGTTGTTTTACATGAAATGATCTTTGACTTTCTCCTCTAGGACTCGAAGACACATTTGAGCCACTTGGAGATGAGCCACGTCGGGGTAAGGTGTTTTGTGTGTGTGTGTCTCGTTGTTAGCCTGTTCCCTCTTATGGCTCTCTCGTTAGTTACCCGTGCTCTCCTTCTGCAGTCTTGTTGTCTTCTCATCTCGCCGTTAGGTTTGCCCTGTGATCTTTAATCTAAGCATTATTTCAAACACGGACATTCGGATAACCTTTATATTTACCACGAAGTAACAAGTAAACAGATGGCACCACTGTATACAGATAAGCAATAGCTGCATGACAGTGGATGTCAATCTAAAAAGTCTTTTTTAATGAAGTGTCTTAATCTTGTACAGTGACCCTCATTGATGGTTGGGGGGAAAAAGGCATTATATGTTTGTTTTCCTTAAGAGGGTGTGAACATTATCTTATCTTTTCTTATCTTATCTCTGATACTGGCGTAGGAAGTTGGGTGGGGAGGGGGGTGGCTTTTTTAAAATCTTTATATGGCGGGGATGGCTTTTTCGGACAACTGTACAGGGTTTGTTTCGCGGAGTGGGGCGGCCAATTCTAAGCCTCCACGGGTTGCACCAGCACTAGCTACGCAACTTAATCTCCAATTGTCAAATTAATGCTATTCCTTCATGTCCACAGCCCACGCCGTGTTCAGGCGGTCCGCCCTCGTGGAGGAGATCATGGGTCCGCTGAGTAGAAACGTTCGACAGGTCAGCGAGACAACCAGGAGTCAGAGTAAGTTTACAGACGTTAGAGCAGACGACGAACGACGTCTCCGCCAATAAGTACCGACTTCAGATCGTCATTAAAAAAAACAACAAAAAAAAACTTCACCGAATGTCTTACAGTCTTTTCTCTGCCCCCAATTGTAGAGACGGAACTATTTTATTGTTCAGCCTCCTAATCGCTGTTAAGTTAAAAAGTAGCCTCACAACGTTAATATTATCCATAGATCTCGCCAGGCCATTGTAGCTTTACGGCAGCCACAGACCTCTTTAAGGGATTGTCCCACGACGAATCTGTCAAAATATAATATCAAGATGTTTTAAAGCTTCGCCACACTGGGGAGAACGTGGTACAATTTTTTTTTTTAAAATCACTATCTTCTGTTTTAATTATTCCTTGATTACATTTTGTAAAGAAAACAAAACGTTTACATTTCTCAAGTTATTTATAGATGGGACAGAAGTGGGAAAAAATTCATGTGACTTCGGTGGAAGTTAACCCAGGTAACTAACCATTGGAACGTATGTCGTCAGAAGATGGTCTATTCAAAATCAGAATCGATATTCTGAAACAAATGTTGTGTTTTTGTTGTTTTTGTTGGTTTTGTTTTTTTTTTTTTGGAAATCAGAATCGATATTCTGAAACAAATGTTGTGTTTTTGTTGTTTTTGTTGGTTTTGTTTTTTTTTTTTTTTGGTTTTTTAAATTTCAAATAATTTCACGTATGTTCTTTATATTCAAACACCAGTGGTCTACACGAGAATGAGGATCCTGCTGTCCCTACTCCGTATGCATCTTGGAGCCACGCCCAAAGTTGAGATCTTCCAGTTCAACAATTGGGATAGAACTATCAACATTGACCAACTGTTCTATGTCAAACCAAAAACCGTATGGGAGGTAAGAACTCCCCCCCCCCTCTCCTTCTTCTCAATCGTGTGCAACTAAGTATTTTTAGTTGTGTGGACATTTATTGTACATCTGATTGCTGTTGATTTTTATAATTAGATCTGGTATACATGTATTCTGAGTCATATAATCGGTAGGTTTTCACAAAATCGGGAGTGGGAGCATGGGAGCTACTACGGCGAAGTCTTGGCGCCACATTATGTCTCTACCGAGAGTCTGTTACTTTTTCGAGTGGCGAGACTGACTGCAGGGGTGCACATTGTAGAACGCCCCTTTCATCTCACGACCACTGCGCGCTCGTATTATTTACAAGATAAAACTATTAATGGACCAAATATTTTCCCTCGGAAAAGCGCAATGACCTTTAACCTATCCATCAGGATGTCCTCGAACTAAGCACAACGTCCTTTAACCTATCCACTAGGATGTCCTCAAACTAAGCACAATGTCCTTCAACCTATCCACCAGGATTTCCTCAAACTAAGCACAATGTTCTTCAACCTATCCACCAGGATGTCCTTGAACTAATACAATGTTCTTCAACCTATCCACCAGGATGTCCTCGAACTAATACAATGTCCTTCAACCTACCCACCAGGATGTCCTCGAACTAACACAATGTTCTTTAACCTATCCATCGCTCTGTCATAAAACAATCGATCATGACGTAACTTTGTTACACACGATATTTCTCCCCCCCCCCCACCAACCAGGTCCGAAATGTCATCCTGGCTGCCCGCTCACTGGGCATGCGTGTGAGGGCGACGGGCGCTGGACACAGCAGGTCACCGCTGTATGTGGACGAAGGGAACATCATGATGGACGTACGGGACCTCCAGAGGCATGACGGACCTTTCATGGAGATTATTCCAAAGGTCAGACCAATTTTTTTTTAACAGGAGAAAATTAAATTTTTGTGTTGATATTGTTTGTTGAGATTCTGTGTTTAATTTTTGTGTTGATATTGTTTGTTGAGATTCTGTGTTTAATTTTTGTGTTGATATTGTTTGTTGAAATTCTGTGTTTAATTTTTGTGTTGATATTGTTTGTCGAGATTCTGTGTTTAATTTTTGTGTTGATATTGTTTGTTGAGATTCTGTGTTTAATTTTTGTGTTGATATTGTTTGTCGAGATTCTGTGTTAAATGTTTGTGTTGATATTGTTTGTTGAGATTCTGTGTTTAATTTATGTGTTGATATTGTTTGTTGAGATTCTGTGTTTATTTTTTGTGTTGATATTGTTTGTTGAGATTCTGTGTTTATTTTTTGTGTTGATATTGTTTGTTGAGATTCTGTGTTTATTTTTTGTGTTGATATTGTTTGTTGAGATTCTGTGTTTATTTTTTGTGTTGATATTGTTGGTTGAGATTCTGTGTTTATTTTGTGTGTTGATATTGTTTGTTGAGATTCTGTGTTAAATGTTTGTGTTGATATTGTTTGTTGAGATTCTGTGTTTAATTTTTGTGTTGATATTGTTTGTTGAGATTCTGTGTTTAATGTTTGTGTTGATATTGTTTGTTGAGATTCTGTGTTTAATGTTTGTGTTGATATTGTTTGTTGAGATTCTGTGTTAAATGTTTGTGTTGATATTGTTTGTTGAGATTCTGTGTTTAATGTTTGTGTTGATATTGTTGGTTGAGATTCTGTGTTTATTTTGTGTGGGTGTTGGTGTTTTTTTTTTTACTTATTTTAATGCAAGCCTAAATTAAAAAAAAATATTGGTCTGAGATTTTAGACGAGTTAGGAAATAAAAAGAACATTGAATGGTTTGATGAAACAAAGTTTAAAAAAAAAAAAAATTACTTCAAAAGAATTGAAGGATTTATTCCCTCATTACGCACTTGCTTATTTTCTTTTTAGAATTCTAGTCCCCCTACTCCCACTCCAAGTTTTTTCCACACTCCCAGTCTTGACCCCACTACCAGTCTTGACCCCACTCTCAGTCTTGACCCCACTACCAGTATTGATCCCTCTCCCCATTCTTGACCCCACTCTCTGTCTTGACCCCACTACCAGTATTGATCCCACTCCCCATTCTTGACCCCACTCACAGTCTTGACCCCACTCACAGTCTTGACCCCACTACCAGTATTGATCCCACTCCCCATTCTTGACCCCCCTCTCAGTCTTGACCCCCCTACCAGTATTGATCCCCCTCCCCATTCTTGACCCCACTCACAGTCTTGACCCCACTCACAGTCTTGACCCCACTCCAACTCCCAGTCTTAACAAAACAAAAGCAAAAAAAAAAAACCAAAAAAAAACTAAAAACAACGGTTACCAAGCCAGACCAACGTTTAACAAACAATGTGTCAGACCTGTGTCTGGTCAACACATTAGCGACTGAACGAACCATCCGGAAAATGTCTAATTTTTTGTTCTCTCCAAGCATTAATAAAACATTGATGATGCGTCTCGCTACGAAACATCATTGCTCGCACCTAGCGTATAGCCATGCTGCAAAACTTTGGACTGAGAAGATTATTATTATGTAAGGTTGCCTGTAAATTTAGTACGTTAAGGAATTCAGCCCCCACTCCACCCACTCCCACCCCTTCCTACCACCTAAGTAGCTACGAAAACAGCCGCTTAAACTGTTATATGAAGAAAACCGGATAATCTACTTACAAACTGTCGTTTTTGTTTTTGTAGGTTTGTCTGGCCTACATTTGCTTCCCCCCCCCCCTCCTCTTCATCACAGTTTGAAAACATCCCGGAGAGACGATACAGAAAAAAACAATAATAAAACTTTCTTGGGAAACACGTCGCATTAGAATTCAGTGTTTCCCAAACTGTTTGCCCACCCGGGCGACCCCTAGGTACGCCACTCCACATATGGCTTGAGATTCTCAGTCCGTGTCACGGGCGACCCCTAGGTACGCCACTCCACATATGCTTGAGATTCTCAGTCCGTGTCACGGGCGACCCCTAGGTACGCCACTCCACACATGGCTTGAGATTCTCAGTCCGTGTCACGGACGACCCCTAGGTACGCCACTCCACACATGGCTTGAGATTCTCAGTCCGTGTCACGGACGACCCCTAGGTACGCCACTCCAGACATGACTTGAGATTCTCAGTCTGTGTCACGGGCGGCCCCTAGGTACGCCACTCCAGACATGGCTTTAGACTTTGACTACATAATGGAAATGCATAAAAGGATAGGTTTATTTATAAATAGATATAATATGGTTACACCACTCATGGGCACGGGGGTGAGTGTTCCCCGCACCAGAGCATGTGAAGAAAAACTGCGCATAGACTGACGTAGCTTATCTTACACTGCAGTTGTTACTTTCTTATGTCAACGGTCCTCTATGGACGTCAAGTAATGTAAGAATTTCTAATGTTTTATTTACGCTGTACTTTTCCCAAATCGAAAATAATGTTCAATCTTTGCCCTCTCTCCCCCACCCCGCGTCACTTTTGTGTCTGCAGACGCCAGAGAGAAACTTTGCCACACTGAGGGCCATGACGGGCGTCTACGAGATTGAGATGAACGAATTTCTGATCAAGAACAACTACACGATCCTGGCAGAGCCCCTCAACGACCAGGAGACGCTGGGCGGGATGGTGGCGGCCAGCACACACGTGAGTACACATCGCCGTATTCATAATAATAATAATAATAATAATAAAGCTCATTTGAAAATCACGCTTCATCCCTATAGGCTCGAAACGCGGTACAAAGTCATCCATATGAAAAAAGAATGAAAAAAGAATCTATATTGTACCACATTGAAATAAAAACGCAACATTACAAAAACTACATACGAGAACACCCATTCTAAGTCTTTCATCCCTTGCAACCATTAAAAAACACAGGCCTCTTCACATCTAGGAGATAATAGCTAGCTGGAAAAGATGGTATACAAATTCACCCCGACAGGTGTTTGCGAAAAAGATATGTTTTCAAATCAGTTTTGAAAGACTCCAGTGTCATCCACATTAGAAGTGTCCTTAATCGAGTCGGTACCAATGTCCAAAAAACCTGAAACTGTTCACGAGACTTCCGATCTGTTAACAGGTCATATTATTTTGTTTTCGTAATACAATCCACACCAAAAAACACGCAAATCATCAACAACTTGAAACGATGTCACACAAAAGTTGAATGAATAATTTTAAAGAAATTTAAAAAATAAAAAAAAAAAATTAAAAAAAAATAAAAAAAAAAAAAAAAAAAAAAAAAAAAAAAAAACGAAAAAAAAAGAAAGAAAAATCTGATGATATTCCCAGGGTTCGACTTATGATGAGCCCACTTACAGTGGTATCGTTGTAGAGATGAGACTCATCGACTCCCAGGGCCGACTCCGGAGGTTCACCCTCGAGAGGCATCCCATGATCATGAAGGCAGCCATCTGTAACCTGGGCATGTTTGGCATTATGTACGACATCACGATCAAAGTAAGTTGACGGCTATCACGTGACGGATATCACGTGTCCAACAAAACCTCATTGCGCAAACGAGGACCGAACACTGCCCGACACTGAGGTACCGACATAGACTCGACATAGACTCGACTCGATTATTATGTTATTATTCTCTTATTAACATTCAATAAATTTAGACCATTGAAAAATTTTTCAAATTTAACAACTATATAAAAAATCCAGTTCCTAATAAAAATAATTTGTAAATATAAAACCTTTTTTTTAAAAAAAAAAACGAAAATTAAAAACTGTTAGAGGGGAAAAAAAAGGAACTTTGACAGTCTACGGTTAAACATGAATGTCTTATGTTTGCAGATCCAACCAGCCATCATTGTAAAGGTTGTCAACACGTTTGTCCCACTGAAAGACCTCATCCAGAACCAGGCGGCGCTCAAGGCCCAGATCAGTGGGAATTTTATGAACGAGATCTCTTGGTTCCCCTTCAACAACCTGTCCCCAGATGAAGAGGCGTTCTATCGTCGTACAGGAAAGGCCCCAGATACATGGAATGCTGGAAAGGATATTCTTTGGGTCAGGTAAGATTATTATAAAAAAGGTTTTAAAAAAAAACAGAAAACAAAATCTGGATTATTTTTTGGAAGCATTAAGTTTATTTTTAAAGTCATTTAAGCTGGGTCCTGGGTGGCCGAGTGGTCTGAACTTCAATCTCCACTAAAGCCTAGCAACAACAAAAAAAGATCGTTAATCTTGGATTTCAACTCATCTAAGAGTAAGAGAACGAAACTCTGAATTCAAACCCGGAGACGGAGTCCCGTAGGCGGATAGCATTGACACAATGAACTATTCCAAAAACTCCTCCGATGCTATCGGTGCCAAGCTGTATCCTCCCTTGGGTTATCTTGGTGCGTGGAGAGAGGCGATTAGCTGTCTAGGGAACCAGCTGATAGTCCTAAAAAAAATAAAAATCCCAGGCCTTATGATTTCGTCCTGTCAAGTCTACACCATCGTCACATTGTGATGGTCGGATGCCGTACAAGAAAAGGAAGTTGGTCATGGACCTAAACAAGCTTCGTCTGATTTCTAATTCCTTTTTTTTTTTTTTTTTGCTTTGTGAAGGAGTTGCGTAGTTAATCTCTGCTCCATTGTATTTAATAAAAGGGGAAGGGGGGGAATGTAAGTTGCCTACATTCGATGAATGAAGAAAACAGCTCCTTGAAAACTGAAATAATTCGATTGTCAAAGTTTGGTCTGATTTCTAATTCCTTTTTTTTTTTTTTTTGCTTTGTGAAGGAGTCGCGTAGTTAATCTCTGCTCCATTGTATTTAATAAAAGGGGAAGGGGGGGAATGTAAGTTGCCTACATTCGATGAATGAAGAACACAGCTCCTTGAAAACTGAAATAATTCGATTGTCTCAGATTCTAGGCGAGATATCCGATTTCAGCTGCCCGGGGCTGAGGGTAAATTACTGCAAATTTTCTTCAAAGATGTAGAAACATTAATCATAAATTAAGAAAGACAAGATAAATATTTATTTTTAAAATATGTTTTTTTGAGAAACTATACAGCAGAATGACAATAGACACGAGTATAACGTGATTCGCAGCACCTATGCATAAAATAACTGACGACAATATTTAATAAACACAAATTGAAGACATGCCCATTGAAACAATTTCTTAACACTTTTACCAAACATAAATTAACCACAGCAGCCATTAAGAATGCTATCTTTTGTTTCTCTTTGGGCTCTTCAGACTTTATAGTAATAAAGAAAATGCTACGATGCAGTCAGGGACGTCATTATGGTAGGGCTGGGTGGGACATTTGCCACCCCCCCCCCCTTTTGAATTTGCATGTTTTATTTAAATTGATATGTACTGTGGCGCCTCCGGTTATAAAATAAATATAAGAACGAAGGTTTGCCAAAATTGAATTCATGAACAGGACAAACAATTTTAACGTTTCGGCTTAGAGGCTTCATCAGAAAACAAGACAAAAAGAAGTATAACAAGTATCAGATCACAGTAAAAAAAAAAACCTCACGTAATAAACAACTTAACAAGCCGACCAAGTTTTGATTTAGCTCCCCCCCCCCCCCAACCTCTTTAAAAAAAAACCTGAAATGGGTGCCACTGGATGTAGTTTTTCAGTCAAGGTCATTCACTACCTGTCACAACAACGACATGAAATAGCCCCGCCCTCTGCTTTCTCCCTGCAGAACCATCAACCCCGTGAATGCATCTGAAATGGTCGGGAAAAATCTGACCGGCTCAATCTACCTACCCAGCAACGGTTCATTGGCAGGTGGAACTGAGACTGGACTCTTGAAAGCTAAGGTAATTTAAAAAAAAAAAAAATTAATTAAAAAATAATATTTTAATAGCGATAATTTTGTATTGCCTTATTAGTAAACACACATGTCAAATGAATGGTGTCAGAGAAACAAGTCTATTGCTGGAACTTGGTCATCAGAAGTTAGAACATGATTAAAATAAATTGTATTGTGTAATAAGTATGAGCTTATTTTAACATGTGATCATTGGCTTGTTCCCCCCCACCACCCCCCCCAGGGCTCCGTGAACTTGGCCAGGCAAATCCCAGAGGTCAGCTACCAGTACCTGGTCCACGCCTTCCCTATCATCTTGCCCCCCAGGTGGGGAGTGGAGACCAGCGCTGCCTTCATGGTCAACATTGATAACAGTTTTGACAGGCCTTTCAGAGCTCTCAATGTAAGTCCAACGGAGGCGGCCATCTTGCTGTGTGTGGCTGTACACGTAGAGTTGCATGGCTAGGCCCATTGGCTGATTACCATTTGAATGGGGCAGATGACACTTTAATTGGCACACCACCGTTTGAATGGGGCAGATAACACTTTAATTGTCAGATCACCGTTTGGTGGGGCAGATTACAATTTAATTGGCGGATCGCCGTTTGATGGGGCAGATTAAAATTTAATTGGCAGATCACCGTTTGATGGGGCAGATTAAAATTTAATTGGCACATCACCGTTTGGTGGGGCAGATTAAAATTTAATTGGCAGATCACCGTTTGATGGGGAAGATTAAAATTTAATTGGTGGATCGCCGTTTGGTGGGCAGATTAAAATTTAATTGTCAGATCACCGTTTGGTGGGCAGATTACACTTTAATTGTCAGATCACCGTTTGGTGGGGCAGATTACAATTTAATTGGCGGATCACCGTTTGGTGGGCAGATTACACTTTAATTGTCAGATCACCGTTTGGTGGGGCAGATTAAAATTTAATTGACGGATCACCGTTTGGTGGGCAGATTACACTTTAATTGTCAGATCACCGTTTGGTGGGGCAGATTAAAATGTAATCGGCAGATCACCGTTTAATTCCCCGCCCGTTACTTATTATGCAACGTTATGCATTTATTTTGAAAATAAGCCATGCAATTTATTGAAGGTATATAATTATATAACTTCTAAATTAATCCCAATTATCGTAATAGAGCTTCTATTTGGGTAATTAAAATTATAGAGCACTCAATTTCGGTAATTAAAATGACCGAGTGAACTAACGGATTTAGCGCCCCTTAGATTCCCTAACGTTTCAATCTTGCACCCGGACTCCTTATTGCCACCACTTACAGGCGTTATGTTGAAACACAAGTGACGTGGCCACACATTTTTACAAATACAATTTTAATATGGGGTGGGTTTACAAATTGGATGCATTACATGAAAATAAGTTGCCCATGATATGACGAAAAGTAGAATCTTATCTTGTAATTTTGGAATGATTTTACAAAAAATAAGTTAGTTTAAAAAAAAAAAATTATAAACAGTTTAAACACACCTTATAATTGTATAATTGTATAATTCAATGATCAACAAATGGATATTCTTCATTTCAGTACATGGTGAACAAGACAGAGACCCAGATTAGGATGAACGCTTCCACTCCCATGAACGCCTTACTGCCCAGGTGGTTCAAGAACCACAAATGTTGCCTCTGTCCCGGAAATGAGGAGATAACTATGCCAGATGATTCTGGGAAAACCCTAGTCATCGACTTCTTGGCGCCCCCTGCACAGTATGGATTCTATCCAGCTGCTGAAGCTGTGAGTACCTTCCTTCTGACGTAATCCTTTCTTTTATAGTGTAATGGAGTTTTGTTCAATCCAAGTGCGACACTAGGGTTGGTGAGCTCCCCCCCCCCCTTTTTTTTTCTTCTAGACTTTCTAAGGAGCTTCACCAAGTCTGACTGCTCTGTCACACTCCTTAATACTTAATAAGGGCAGTCAAAACTATTCGTTTGTGGCAAAAAAGGATTTACAAAGTAGTAAAGTTGTCTGAAATGAATTTGAGTTATCTGACATGGATTTGAGTTATCGGACATGGATTTGAGTTATCTAACATGGATTTGAGTTATCTGACATGATTTGAGTTATCTGACATGATTTGAGTTATCTGACATGATTTGAGTTATTCACAGGGATTTGAGTCACCTGACAAGGATTACAGATTTTTTCCAGAACAGTATAAAAATTTAATTTTAAAAAATTTTGTTGCAGAAAAAATTATCTTCATTTCTATTACATATTTATTTGCAGTTTGTCGAAGAGTTCAAGGCTGAAAAAGTTCGACCCCATTGGGGCAAACGCCATGACAATATCCCGGGAATTATTGACGTCATTAAGAATGTCTACGGAGGGCTTCTCGGTGAATTCCAAACTCAAAGGCGATTGGCTGATGTTGACCCCTGTGATATGTTTATGAACTCTTACTTACTGGCCATATTTGGACGAAGTCCCAATTGCTAAGTTTGTAATATACACACTACAGCTCAAATTTTAAATGGTCAGAAAGATCTCTACAATATTATAAAAAAATTAAACATTTTAACCATAACCATACCATTGGCTATTTACTATAAAAACCGTACAAAATTAATTTGGCACCGTCCTCTAGCAGGTCAGTGTTTCATTAAATTTTCAGTAAGAAATCTTGCCAGATTGTTATTAGACTATTATTAACTTTAAAAAAAAAAATTTTTTTAATATACATTGACGAATGGCTCTGTTGTGTACTGAGTTCTTTCTTTTTTTCAATAGGCATTTTAAAATGTTTTCCCCATTCGCTTAATTAACTATAATAAAATGTATTTCTCTGAGCACATGAAGTTACAATTCTTTCAATAACTTTCTTGAGTGATTGCTTCATCTCAAATCAATCAATATCATCCTGTCGGTGTGAAAGAACGTATGGTGCAGTGGGGAGGCTCCCCCCCCCCCCCCAAATTCCCAAAGAGTTGCGCTAAATGAGATTCTTAAAAAACATAGCAAGTGCGTTTGGTGTGTAATATTTACTCTTGTTTTACTGAGATGGTTTAAATTTAAATATGGTGGTTTAATAAATCTGCGGTGTAAAAGGAGTGCGGCACGTAGGCTACTTGGGGGAGGGGGTAAGGGGGGCAGAACTATTGGGATTCTTATAAAGTGCGTTACTTGAATGCATGTTTTGCCAAGAAGCTTGAGTAGATGGGAAGTTCACGCTTTACCGCATTTGTTTGGCAGGCTATAATAACTAGTTATGAAATATAACAATATACGCAAGATATATGAGTTTTTTTCCTTCCTTTGAGCTATGTTTAGAATCATCATGGGGTTGTCGCTCCCTTACAAAATGTATTTTTTTTTTTTTTAAAATTGGTTGTGCCGATACCTTGACTTAGAAAAGGGAAATCAAAACATTCATGTTATCGAGAGTTTGGTCCCCTCCACCATTTCAAGACATATCATCATCAGCTTTAACTTTGACGTCATTTCTAGGAGAATTATTTTTTACATGTGTTGAATTTGTGGCTGTTTGCAAACATAAGTATATTGTATGATATTTTCTTTTAAATTCTGCCAATATCTGTGCCTGTTTGCAATCATAAGTATATTTTATGACATTTTCTTTTAAAATCTGCCAATGTCTTTTCAACTTTTTTATGTTTTAAAATTGTACTTGTTTAATGATGAGTTTGAATGTGTATTTGATTGTCTTTGGTAGTTTCCCACCTCAGATAGTTGCCTGCTTGAGATGGTTTTATAATTTTAAGACAAATGTGCGCTTTGAGTGTTGAAGTGAAAGGTAACCATGCATATAACCATTTTGTTATTACTGTTTATGATTGAGATTTGCTTGTTATTTTGATGTACATATACATTTTGAATTGAAATAAAAGCAATTTATTGTTGATTTTGTAATAAAATTTCCGCATCTGAAACTACTCAAAGACTTGATTATGATTTACCCATACTGTCTAGATATATTTTGTTTAAACTGATTTCTACAGCTTTTAAAATAAAATAAAATAATTTCCATGGGGTCAAATTCATATTTTTTTACCCCAAAAAAGGGTATTTTAAGTTTATGTCTTAAAAAACATCAAGAAATTAAATTTTCTATGTATGAGAGAATTTATGGTGTAATGGGGAGTTCAATAGAGTGAAAAATAATACTCCGGATAACTGCGCTAAATGAGATTCTTAAAAATACAGTGAGTGGGTTCGTAAGTAATATTTTCTTTTGTTGTATTGAACATCAGAATATTAATATAGTTCAGGGGTGTGGAAAAAAAAAAGTGTTTGGTGGTGTACCGTGAGGCCTGGGGCTTAGAACTAGAAGGTATTCTTAAAAGTTTTAATATAGTCCATGTTTTTTCAAGCAACTTTAGTAGATATGAAGTTAAAGATTTACGCCGAAATTGTTTGGCGGGCTTTAACTAGTACTACATATAATGCAGAATAATTAATTAGCTTCCCATCTGGAATGTTGAGCTTCTCTTCCATGTTTAATTTTGCAAAAAAATTTCATTGTTTGCAATATAAACACAAAACACTAGGTTAAACTATAAAACAATCACATAGATGATTATTGAAAAATCTTATTAAAAATTTCAATTGTGATATTTAGCTTTGGCAAAAATTTGTCATTCAAACAATTTTCGGAGTCTTTGAGCACATTTTTTAAATCCTTCATTGATGATTCTGTTGTAAATCTTACATACACATACAGCCATGAAGGGGTCATTCTAATAAAAAACCAATGTATTTTTTTTTTAAAATCACAACAAAATGACAAATGATTTTTTTAAAAATAAAATAAAATTCCATTTAATTAATTTTCTGTCAGAGAATTTCAGTAAACACAGTTCAGTGATTGTACTTGGGTTTAACAATGAAATCAACTAGGTGGCATGAATGACAATGAAAATGCTCTGTAACCAAAGTTTGTGCACACATCAATCTTGTCACTGCTGCCAGCCACAGTTAGAACCTGAATGGATAAACACAAATAAATGTCAGTAGAACTACTACTAGAAGTAGGACCATCAAAACAACCAAGTGTTTTTTTTAAATTCTAATCTCCTAGCAACGATACATGTGCACAGGGGGGGAAGAAGAAAGAGATACTGGGATAGTGTTGGGGAAATTCACAGAAATGTAAGGGAGACATGGGGGGTAATTTGGGGAGATAACTGGGGGCAATGTACACAGCAATATTAGTGAAATGACAGCTGGCAATATACATGTTAATTTTAGGGAGATAACAGCAATTGTAGGGAGATAAAAGAGGACAATGTAAACAGCAATGTTAGAGAGATAACAGCAGTGTTAGGGAGCAATGTACACAGCAATGTTAGGGACATAACGGGGGAAATATAAACAGCAATTTTAGAGAGATAACAGGGGGCAATGAACACAGCAATTTTATGGAGATAACAGCAATGTTAAGGAGATAACAGCTGGCCATAAGAATAAGCTCCAAAATAATTATCAGCAACTCTCATATAAAATTTCTGTAATATTAACCATGAACCATGGACAGATGACATCAAAATTACCTTGTTTGCTTTGCTGTGTGTGTTGATGTCGATGGAGTAGATGGAAGAAGGACTGACAGGCACTGCCATCTTATGTTCTCCAGTAACTGACCAGTGGTTTATGATATTACTGGTTCCTGCTGAGAATATCTGAAACAAGCCCCGGCCGTTTTAGAAACACCTTAGTCCTGGCGTTAAAAATCTTAACGCCCCACACAGCAACATGTTAGTCTTTTGTTGCTCTTGTTGGATCAGTGAGCATATATTTTCAAGCCTGTGTTTTGTTTTTAATTTACATCTAATCTGCAATGAAAACTGCTATCATTATGCTAAAAGATGCCTTGAAAAAAACAAACAAATTGCTTTGCCAAAATATTCCAGGTAATGCAACAATTTCAGTTTTCTGTTACCAACTTACTTTATCTTCATAAAACATTGCCACATTCTGGGCAACCCCTGGTGTGTCAAAGGTCACTGTCGGTGTTAAAGTTTTGAGATGCCATGCGGCCAAGGTGGGTCCGCCTCCGAGAAGCTGTGAATCAAGTGATTTACATTTAATTTCAAAAACAACGCAACTGATAGAATGATAAAACTAAAAACATAAGTCATAGAGTTTATTCAGAACACCAAGTACTAGAAGTTTGAAGTGGCTTAAACGAATGTTGGTGTAAGTAATAGCTTTTAAATAATAACTTGAATACTAATGAGCACAACTCATTAATGGCGAACAAGAAATGAAATGACGGCTCAAAATCAACATATTTTAAATAAATGTCATTTTTCTGATGAAGGTTTTTAAATGTATGTCTATCAAAGCCATGATTTATGACTACCAGCAAACCTAGCCCTTGATAAGAGTTCATTAATTTATGAAAACCTGCAAACCTACCCCTTGATAAGAGTGCATTAATGTATGAAAACCTGCAAACCTACCCCTGAATAAGAGTGCATTATAGTAACCTTTGTTGGGGGGGGGGACGGGGACAATTCTCCTTGCCTTTCTTTTTTTCAATGATGGGCTATAATTTTATATCTCAGCAATATTTAGTTGAATTTTTGCTTTATATCTCAGCAGTATTTAGTTCAATTGCTTTTATCTAAAATATTTTCAGTCAAAACTTTTAATATTCACTTATTTACAGACCATCCAGTAATTGTCTTCATCCAGCGCCAGGCACTGCAACCACTGTCCCATATGGGGCCTAGCACACATGTCATGCTCAAAAGGTTTCACCACATGGGCAGCTTCTTTCATCCTCAGATCTAACATGGGTAGGAGATGTGGAAATATGTCATAAATGTGTTCAGATCTAGAATACAAGGGTTCTCAAGTAAAGTCACCTTTAAAATAATTAAATAGAATTTTATCTCCAGATCACATGGAAACATAATGTCAGTTATGACATCTCTTAGTGACACAGTCGATTGAAGAAGTAGCGAATTGAGGGATACAATTTTTTTGTATAATGCTACCATAAAAATACTTTAACATGGAAAATATTTACTTTATTTCTATGTCTATCAATGTGGGAGTTTTTCACATCAAGACCTATAAAAATAATTTTTGTTTATATTTTAAATGTAAATAAAAAATCTCTTTCGCTAAATGACAACATCACAGCAGCACATTTAAAGTGTTTCGTAGATTCTCTTCATCACTTCAACTTAAGTCTAAAAAAATTAATTCTAAACAATATCAATAAAAAATACTTTTTAATTAACAAGAGTGTTGTTATTAAGGGAAATACATTTTATAATTGATTATATTCATACAATTTATTTTTAATCATTCAATTCTGTTCTTAGAATGCAGATAGATTGTGCTTAAACTCAAGGCATTACCCTACCCCATATAACAGCTGAGCCATCTTCTGATGCTGAGATTAAACCTCTCCCCTCATTTTTCAAAGCCACTGTGTGTATGTAGTTGGTATGTCCACTAAGGGAATCCTGTGGAATAAACCGAATGTTGACATCAGGCTTAAAACCAACACTGTACAGGTAAAGCCAAGAGAGCATAATTTAATACAATACCCAATTCCAACATTTAATTAATGAAATAGTAAACATTTAGTATTTAGAAGAAGTATCTCTTTAACACTTACTACACTTAGGATATGGTTATGCACATTAATGATGATGTGCTGTGGCTACTAGTTTTATGCTGACCAGTTGGACAGAATGCTGAAAGTCCCCTTGAGAAACCGAAATCATGAAACACAACAAAACATGTAGGAGGTTCTGATCAAATCCAGAGTGTCAGATAACCATCATTACTTATTTTGGAAAAAAATCAGATAATTATTTTACCAAGTAAGCTCCACTTTCAATGTCCCAAGAATGAACCAAGTTATCACCAGCGCCTGCAAATAGCGTGCTGCTACTCTGCAACAAGAAAATGTGTACCCGTAGATATGTCAGTGCAAAAAAATTCAATATTTATCCACAGAGTCAGAAAACTTTTTATCTATTGACTATATATGTGACACTAACATTAGTTAAACATTGTAAAATTCCATAAAGATAACTTCTTCTTCTATATCTTAAGGGCCCACGATCAATTTATTGATCATTTTGGCTCCTATGCATGTAGATTGGATTTGCAATGTTTCTGTTACTGGTGGTAATGAGGAAATCTAAAGTACATTTTCCTATACATAATGGAATACAATTTTATTTTCCATTTTGCTGAATCGAAAATGGAAAAGTATGACATATGACTTGTATACATATTATTACAATATTACAAAGAGTAGTTGAACCAAGTTAACAATGGAAAGTACTTACATTGTCTGTACGGATAACACAAGAATTGATCTCAGGGTGAGAAAAGACACCCCTGTGGAAATTAACAAATGTAGACACAAAGTTAGATTATTAAGCCCTGCCAGCCCCCCAGTCTTATCATATTAACTAGAGAAAAGAACATGATGTAAAAAATTTCATCTAGTCACAACTAATAATGCATGACTGAAATGTTGAACAGCTACCCGCCTCGGAATCTGGGTCATATTCTTATCTTGAAAGTGCTCTGCCATTGACTAATATTTTAATGCCACATTGCAGTTCCTGTTAAAGGGGTCGTTTGCAAATTAAGCCACGTTCAAGGGGAGGGGGCGGGGGGGAGGGGCGAGGATTTGTGACACTTTGTGACAGGGCAAAAGGGGTCAAAGATTTGTGACATCAATTTTTTTTTTAAAAGCTAAACTTTTCTAATTTTGAAAAAAAAATTATTTAATTAAATTTAAAAACATTAATTTGAGGTCGAAATTGCCTCAGGTATTACAGGTAAAGTCAAACCTGCTTATCTTAACCTCGGTTAACTCGCCAACCCTGTTATGTCGACATTTTTGAAGTGGAACCGCCAAATTCTCTCTTTGTCTTAGCCTTTTCTCCTCGGTTATG